CCAGGTAACAAAACAATAGTTATTTCCCAACCAGTAGGCCAGCTAGAATATCTCCATCAACAGATTGCTTAGACCTCTATCCATTGACATAAACTTTAATCTTTGGGTCCAAGTTATACTAGTTTCCTGAATGAAGCCATGTCTCGAGTGATGTGAAGGGTGTAGCCTAGCAGATGACTTGAACAGAATTTCACAAGAGGAATTACAAAATGAGTCACGTTTGTCACAACTAGCCTTCCAATGGTCTACTTACATAATTATAGCTTAAGCTTTCGCCTATTTGAAAATGACTTCGGGAAAATTGACTTTTATGCCACGTTTTACATTTTTACAGCTAAAACAGAAATGGTTTGTGGAAGATTTTTACTTCTTATTTGCAGTTTACGTTATGATGTAGATTATTATTCTGTTCTCACATCCAGGCCCTAGGGCTTTTGCTTATGCTTGGTTTCAAAACCTGTTCCAAAGACATAGGCCTTGCATACTTCAGGCTTTGGGCACCCAGGGTTTTAGAGACCTGATGTTCAGATTTTTCAAATTCTTGCCCTCTGGAAAAATTAAGCTCCAACCCAACACACGTCGGGAACCCAAAATCACTAGTCACCCTTGAAAGTCTTGGCCTTTGGTTTTTAAGCGTTTGACATGGAAAATTAGATGCTAAAGGCCCACTAAAAAATTCCAGAAGTGGCCAGCACTGCTTCCTTTAAGCTTCTTCTCTGGCTCTTTTGCCTTACTCTTTGTCCAGAAAACAGAAACTTCCCGAGTGAAGGCAGCTCTGTGGACCCAGCAAGCAGAAGCAGGGGGCACTCAAATGAACCAAATCCTGGCAGTCTCTCCATAGGCAACAAATTAAGCTAATGGGTCCCAAGTGACTGAAGACTTTGGGGCATGGGTATTCAATACGCAGGAAAGAGATCAGTAGCATGTGGAGCGTTATGCTAGCCACCAATGTGTCCCAGCCCCACAATGGGTGCTGCATATGAAAAGGGAGGTACATGCTGAAGCATTTGTGGGCTGCACCTGGCTGTTCTTTGTTAGTGAAGTCTTAAGTGCCTCAGCTGCCACATGATTTACGGTATGCAACACCTCTTTTTCTCCCTGATTGATGTATATTATATGGAACTTATTTACAAAAGATCGATCTCTTCTGTTCCTGTCAGTCATGGCTCATTGTATGCTATTTTCTCCTTCCCGTGGCCCCCCCCCCCGGGTAATTTGCCTTCCTGGCTGCACTTATTTTGCTAGGTAACATGAGCAGACAATGTGAGGATGGTTATTGTTTGTGGAGGCAGCGCTGAGATTGTGCTCTGCTCCTGTGGCTTACTACTGTGTTCTTTGCAAAAATCTTTGTTTTGCTCTTTGGACTTATTTTCCACCAAGATACGAGTAAGATATCTGTACCAACAAGAAGTGTACGGAGCTTACAGTAACAGACAGACCAGTGATGAGCCCTGTAGGGTGTCTGTACAACAGGAACATCTGAACTACTGGTAGTTCACTGCTTACCTTTCAGGCTTAGCTCACATGCAACAGCTTCTACCTTTGCAAGTACCAGATGCACACCGGGCATCTTAGCACCTGCCTCTGCAGTGCATGCTCTTCCGGCCTCCGCCTGTTACATCGGCCGCTTTGCCATCACATCGCAGGTGATCAAGAATGCAATATCTTCTGTAGCCCCAAAAGACATTGCTTTTCACCACTTGTTTCTGGAGGAGGAAAGCCTAATGGAGTGATGAAAAATCCAGTGGTATAAAACTATTAAAATGTGTGCACGCACATGTGCGCTTCAGTGCTGGGAAACACAAACAGCAACAAAAGTCTTAGCCCCAAGTGACTCGCAGAGGGATTTGGCAATAGAGCCGAGGGTCTGTGCTGTTGGAAGACATGCTGGCTGCTCTTGTTCAAACACCTCAGTACGGTGGCCCATTGAATAAAACGTGGACTCTCCCCTTTCTGCAGCACAAGTGGCATCCAGAGGGTGGAGTACAATGCTCATTGTGGAATTAGACTGAGAGAGATGTGTTGGCACAGGCTACCAGACAGCATAGAATACAGATCCCAATATTTGTGTAGAAAAAAAAATTAATTAAAAAAGTTCTGAGATCCATGCAGGGGGCTTCTGTGTTTATTGCTATTTGTGACCATCATCTAGTATTAATACTGTTTAACTGTGTTAACAGTTAAACAGTGTTAACACTAAGTTAAACACTAAGTAAAACACTAAGCTAAACAGTGTTAACACTATTTGTGACCATCATCCAGTGTTAACACTGGCAAACAACCGTCGCTGCAACCCCTCTAGCTAGCCTGACGCTAAGCCTGGCGGGTGTTGGAGGGATTTGCACCCTCCACTCTTTGGATAATTTGACATTGAGGTTTTTAAGGGGTGCGGGATCTGAAACTGGGCCTCATGCAAACACCTTACATTGACTTCAGTGAGCTTTGATCTCTGGGGAGGGGAAGGAAAATTGAGGAGTATTAGAGGTGACCTTCAAAGGGGCAGAGTAGGAAAGGGAAAGAATTACCATAATTAATAGTATAAGGAAAATAGCTGGTTGCTCTCCCTTCCTGGGCACATAATAATTTGATCTCCCACTACTGCCTCTTACTTCTATGCAAACAGAAGCCATTCATCCAACTCCTCTCCCTAGCGCATAGGGATGGAAACAGAGCGGATTCCCAGGCTTATGGGGGGGAAATTCTCACCTTTGAATCAATTGCCACATCTGAAGGTGTTCACTTCCTTTGAATGCCACTCATTCTACCTTGCATGGCTGAAATAGCCTGGAAAATAAGACATGTGCCCAGATGAACAAGTGGCATCATTTTTTTTTTAAATGAGGACCACCACTTCATGCCTCTCCAAAGCTCACTGAAATGAACAGAAGTCTTTCCAAGAACTTCAGTGGACTTTTTATCCAAACATGCCAGGTCCCCATCTTTCTGTAGACTTCTATTCAAGACTCATTACCTCTACAATGTGTGGCCAGTACAAAAGCCATTTTTTCCTTTCAGTTTTATAAATAAGGCTCAATCTCTTGACTTCGAGTGCATTTGATTCCTATTATCGGTTTAATGGAGTTTTAAGTTCCTTGAGATATTGGCTTGACTGCATATTGTACCCAAATCTGCCTTGGAGGTTCAAAATCATACTATTACTATGGTTTTGTGACATCTACTATTCCCTGAACTATTTTTCCTACTCTTGTTCATATACTTCTGCTTGCACATTACAGCTTGATCTCCATCGGTATGATGTGTGCACCTGAACTAGTGGTCCAGAGGCACTATCAGGAGACCATACCTTAGCAAAAAAATCCAGGCTATCCTTATAGATGCAATACTACCATCTAAACTTAAGCATCTGTTATTGATATTTCAGTTCACAGTTATTTTGTATATAAAAACAGATGATGAAGATGCATGCTATGAATCTTTTTGGATCTAGTAAAGCATACTTAGCTTTCCATGAAGTGAATTGTAATAATATACTTTTCTCCCCCCATTTTGCTGGCATAACCTGGTGCAACTAATAAAAGAACAGTGTTAGAGTATGATGACTTCTCTAGAAATAACTGTGATAACTGAGACAGCCTCCTTCCAAGTCCCTAACAAAACACTTAGGCTGATGAAATTCCAGAGGTGCTTAAAATACCAATATTACCCTTAACTAATTGCATAACACTAACCTGCTCAACACAAGGATCTGAATTAATTACTGTGTTTAATTTTCTGACAGCTAATACATTTTCATCAGGTATGTTCTCCAGGTAGACTTGTCCTTTCATGAGTGTATTCTCCATACAGATCACTCCATCCTCTCTCAGCAAGTGGTTCTCCAGGACAAAATTGTAGTAGTTAGCAGGCTCTCTTTGATCAGCATCAATAAAAACTGTATCAAAGTGTTTGCCCACAGCATGTAACCCTGGAAAGATAGCGTCAAAGAAAACAGTATTGTTTACATGCAGGTTGAGCGTCTTGTACAATAAAGCATCCTACACATGAAACCCAGGAAAACACAGAGCAGAAAACATGTTTTTAAAGCAGCATTCTTAACTGAAGGTCACTTCTGGTTGAAAACAATTTGCTTCACACCAAACAAGATTAAACTGGGTGAGATACTTCTGTATACAGTTTCTCTTGGATATTTGACTGTCTGCTTACCAGAGAGAGGTCAAGCACTTTGGTCACCCACCGAAACCAGTGCCTAGAGCCAAGTGAACCACTCAGGGTAGACTATTTTCACACCCCATAAAAGGCCAAATATCTTAAGCTGCTCTAAAATAAATCGGTACATCTTCACTAAGGAGGGCATCTGCATTTATATTCAGTACATTTCAAAAGGGGAGTGCAACGGTTGCATATAAGATAGACATTTCAGATTTCCTCTGTGTTGTTCTAACTTTATTCCTATTGAAATCAAACAGCGGTTTTACCATGGACTTCAAGGGTAGCAGAGGAAGGCTAGGCTGAATGCTTTTGAAAAATCCCACTTACAACTTATGTGCACTACCATGAAAAGAGAGCTTTTTTTTTTTTTTTTTTTTTAAACAACCTCTTTTTTTTTTTTCAAAAATATTTTTTAAAAATGTATGAAACAAAGGAATACCTCAACTCAACCCCAAAGACTTCAATCCCTTACCATAATCTGAAGAGCTGGTAACTAGCTTTTTGTTCTACGTACGTGCAGAATATTGTACACTCACCATGTGTGTTTGTGTAAAGGGGCAAAACTCAAGAGATTGCTACTGGGATGACAAGCTTTTTGCTAGCCAATTTGGTCCGTGTCAGCAGAGCTCAAAAGTTGTCAAACTTAATGCAGTCTTGTGCCTCAAGTGAGAGCAGTTGGCTGCCTCAGTTTCATTTATGGCATCTTCCTAAGGGACTTTTGTCAATGACTTTTGGACGGCAGGGAGGAATCGTGCTGCCACGGAGCCTAAAAGACGAGCAAAGGTGCACAGTGAAAGGGCTCTGGTTTTTCTAGTAGCACCCCAAGACCTTGAGGAATTCTTGGGTTTTAGGAAGCAATCCTGTCCCTTCCAGTGGTGAGCAAATCCCTCTGCCTTCCAACAAAAACCCAGGAGGAAACTCAGAGGCTGCAAGAACTGGTTGGGTGATCACTCCACTGAACTTCTGTTGCTTTGCATTACAGCAGAAATGCATATAGAGTCCAAGAGAATTAAATCAAGAGGGGAGAAAGGGGGGGGAAACAGAGCTAGGACACCCTTAGACATTATGTGGAAATTTAAGAATGAAGCAGCTGTATCGCATATAAGCTCTCATCAAGATACGGTACTATGCTAGAAGACTGGAGAGGCACAAATGCTATATCCATCTGTAAAACAAAGGAAGAAGTATGATCTTGGGAACAGGCTCGTGAGCCTTACACTCCAAGTACTAGGAGGATGGTTGAAATATTAATTAATGACGGAATTATAACATGCATAAAAATGGGTCAGGAGAGAGGCTAAAGACGCACAGCTTCTATGAAGGCAATGATTTATTTTTTTTTGGTAGATTAGAAAAACGTCTTTGGACAGCTCAGCAAAGCAGAGGATGAAAGAGAACTGGCTGCTCTGATCTATTTGCATTCTCAAAAACATGGAGCACCTTTCCTCCAAGTAAGCTGCTGAACACCAGGTAAAAGGTGTTGATGGATGACCAGGTGGGTGGCTTTGCACTCCCCTGACAGTGGCTGATGCCCCTGTTGCTCAAGAGACTTCTCTGGAACATTTCAAAGTCCATCTGGGATCATTTAACTAAAGCGGCATGTGTTTCTGTTGAGCAACATTTCATCCACCCGTCTGTGGCAGATTTAAATACTCTCAAGAGTAGACATTCAGAGTGAGAGGAGACAAATAATGATGTTTTCCTCGATGGATTGTTTCTGCTATGTCTCTTAACAGCACTTTGCAGATCCAGCTTTTTCTTTGTGTGCTGAAGCTTTGGGCATGATGAAGGAAGAGTGATCCTTCCTTGATGTATGAAAGGAAGAGCTAACTGCAGTAACAAGTAGCTCTGGTGTATGAAGACCTCATTTATCCTTGGGGAATGTGAAGTAACCTCTATGCAGAGGTTACTGGAGATCATTTTAATGAGGTGATTAGGAGCACAGAGCGTGTCTTTATAGCAAAGAAGCATAGGGAATTAGATGACCAGGATGTGAATGGATAGGCTGAGAAAGTTCACGGCATAGCAGTCCAGTGAGAGGTCAGAAAGCTGAGCTTCACTCTTAGCATGGATCCACTGATTTGGTGGAAAAGCTTCAGGAGGCTTGGAAAAGCTAAACAATTTTGTTAGAGCATCTCAATTTGCCAAAGCTTGTCACTCGGTAACCCAATGGTCAAGGCTCTGCATCTAGGACTTCTTCATTCCTTTGTCCGCTCATGCCTATAATGGCCATCATGTTGGATGACCAAAAAACGTGCTTCCTCCTCCGCTGATTCCTCAACTCTTGCAGTCAGCCTAAGCACTTCCATCCCCAAGAATTTGGTGCTCTGAAGACCCTCATCCCAACTACATGCCTTGTATCTGGTGGTGCTATTTGTTTCCCATGAAATATTAGGTCCTCTAAATCAGAAGTTTGGGGTCTGTGTTGTGAAGGGAGGATCCCGTCATCCCTGAGGACACATCTAGGGGACTCTCTTTATGTCTGTAGGTGGAGATGGGTCTTGACCTGTAAGAGGAAGCCATGAAATTCCTTCAGTCCCAGCATTGCCCACAAAATTAGAAGTTCAGAAGCTGGAGGTAAAGGTGCGTGGATGGACACCTAGTTTGTCATGTCCTGTTAGCAGGCCCCGGGCACACGTGAAGCCTTCTGCTTTCTCTCTTTGGCCTGCTCCACACACTGGCGAGAAGTATCCATGCACAAGGAAGAAGCCCCAGGGGTAGCCCTGTAGGGTATTAGAAATACTGGCACCCTAAAAAGAGAAGATAGGGGAGAAGGGGGAATTATGCTCGTTGCTATACCCACAAAAGAGGGAGGACTGGATCACCTCTCCATTGGCAGAGAACTGGAACATCCCTTACCATAGAAGCATCATACATGTAATAAATGGCAAGAAAAACTGTCTTCACCCAGGGATAACCTGGCTACAGTTTATGCTTTTACTTACAGCAAATCCCTACTTCCTTAATAAAATCATAGAGCTGTGTTGTACGTAGAATATCCACTAAAAAGACAATGGGCTGAAGATCATAACAATGTTAATGAAGGTTATGGGAGAAGACTAGGGACAAGACATCCTGGCAAAACAAAACTGAATCTTCTGCCAAAGCTAAGGAAAAATCTGATTTAGTCTTGATTGGAGCCACCACCTGCATTAGACATACCCAAACCCAATCATAAGAATGACGGTCCAATTCCTTTGGAATAGATCATACAGCCAGTATAGGGTAATAAAGATGTGCTCAAAACCTATTACCTTTGCTATGCCTTGTTCTTGACCTAAATGTAATAGTAATCTATCCTTAGGGTACATGGTATACATGAAAAAGTACAGCTTCTTTTTAAAACACCATTAGAATATTTTACTGTATGTGGACATACACTCTTGTTACTCCTAAATGCTATTCTATTGAGTACAGTTTATATTCACTGGCAAAGCTAAATCTCTGGGGAAGCTAGAGAGGGAATGCAATTTCTAGTAATAACAGCTCACAACAGTGAATACTATCCACTTATCCCCACAATTTCCAGCTATTTTGGACTCCTTTCTGAATTAACCTTTCATATCAAAAGGAGCAATTCTGCACACTAGAGACTCCGACACAATTTCATGCATAATTTATTCACTCAGTTCAACATTAAACGCAGAGTCCTTGACTTTGTCAAGGTGGATTCTGTTGGCAGACTTCACAAGCAGCAAAACAGGGGAAATGAGATCTGCAACTCAACCTCTTCACCTATTCTGTCTGGTAAAAGGAGGGGGAAAAAAGAGAAAAGGAAAAAGACTCCTACTTTTTTGCATGATGTCCTGCAATCAGCAGGATCTTTGAAAGTGCATTATCTTCTTTTTTACGTTGTATTTTAGATCTTAAAATGGAAGGGTCAAAATAATGAACTCAGATGATTTCCCAGGACTTTGCATTTACACAGATCCTGATCCTGCATTTAATTTGTAATATAGCATCCTCAGTAGCCACTGGTATGCTGGATTGGGCCCATTACTGACAATCAAAAACCTTATTTAAAAAGGTTTACCCGGAAGAGACTACTGCTATATTTTCTGGGGATTAAGGCACATTTTCTTCCCCCTGAACATGGAAGTTTAAAATGAAGGTATGTTGTGTACGGTGAAGCTACAAAACCACACCAACCCCAGCCCCAGCCCAGCCCCAAACCATTATAATTAAAATAGACCAAAATTTGATCAAATTGATGCAAGAGAAGTTGCATTTCACAATTTTATCTTATGTATTATTGGGAGTGGAGTGTCTTATACATGAGGAAATATGGAATAAGCATTAGGACCCTGATTCCCAAACACGTTGAAGCACCTTACACTCCTTTTTAGTCTAGCTCCCATTAAAATCAATGGGTCTAAGCCTTAAAGGGCAAACGTGCTTCCAAAAATCCTGACCATAAGGAAGAGAAGCCCCCAAACATTAATGCACTAAAATGACTGAAGTCGTTGTGCACAGCGGTATGCAAAACGCAGTATGAAAGCATTGTTTTGGGGCACAGTTCAGGATGTTGAGCATTAAGCAGCTGGCTCAAGGATCCTTCCTATTTCCAGTGGAACGCAGGAAAAGGCTTCTTCAGTTGCTGTCAATAAAACACAAACCGTGCTGATGCAGTGGGCTGGCACTCGGAGCAGTAACAGCAAGGGTATCATTTCCCTTTGGAGACTCTGCTTCAGATCCTCATTAGCCCATACCTAACTGATTTGGTACTGCTGTTCTAATCCCCTTTCATCACAGCACTACTCTGTGCTGGAGCCAGAACCACATGGAGGCTATAATGACCTGCAGCTTGAGCTGCATTGGCCCAGATGTGGCAGGATGCTTACATCACACTCTGCCGACTGCTGCTGCAACAGCTGGCAACGTTCCTTGTCAAACTTGCGTGCCAGCTAGAGATGCAGCACAGCGTGCATTTGGCATCAATTGCTTGGCACCTGATATGCAGCCAAGGGGATGTAGCATTTACAGACACAGCTCCCAGATGGCCAAGCCTGGCAGCTGCTAAAAACATGATACCTGTGATATGACTATATAATCGGTTCCTCACACTTTTTGGAGTGATTGTTGCGGTTGGCAGAGAAGGTCTTTTGGCTTTACCTGGAGTTAGTTATGCACTAAGATGGTTCTTTACAAGAATCAGTGGAGGCAAACCCTCCCCCTCAATAACCACCTGAGTTGGTGCCAGGAGCTTTTGGGAAGGAAGGAATTATCCGCCTCTCCCAGGGCCTGCGGTGTGCCAGTCCATAGCATGAAGGCGCTGGTAGCCACTACTGAGGTTACAACCTCAATCTGCTTATGCAATTACTGGTGAAGAACTGACTTCTCCTCCCTTATCCTGCTCTGCTGGGCCCTGAGAAGTTGAGCTTGCAGAACTAGGTCTGCAGGTGCATAAAAGGATAAAGCTCCCCCAACACACACACACCCAAACCCCTCCCCACATCCTAGCAGATGACAACAACTCTCTCACCCAGAGGGTCTGCAGTGCTTCTGCTACCAGCAAGGCCTCCTGCAGCCACGGCTGGGAGGAAAAGCATTAATTTCACTCCCAGGGCACCCTGAACCTCATCACAGCATAGCCCTTGCTGTTGTAGTACTGGGCCAGCTCCTAGCTCTAGAAACAGCGACTAGGACCTAATCTGAGTGTCAAAGGCAACCTAGGATCAGCACACGTTCAGCTGCAGCCTATTGTGTCCAAGAAGTCATATGTGGAAAGCCTATCACAAGACCTCCCTTCCACACGTGTAGTGCTGCCAGGCTCCCGTAGTAGCAGGAAAAGAATGCTACTGTCATCCCTGTTGCTTGGGATTCCTTGGCCAGGTTGGTTGGCCTGTTGATTAAATGAAGTAGAAGCCCATCTTCCAGCAGATTCTGGTTTTGCCAAACCCAATGAGAACACATCCAAGAACTACAGCGGTGCAGGGTGGGACCTTTTACAGTCACGCTGCAATTGTTCTGCAACAAAGCAATGAGCCAATAGCCATGTCCTGCACACCCATTAAGTTAAAAAGGAGTTCAAGTACCATGCAGGACCGGGCTCCGAGTCTTCTTTTGCTTCGCACAGCCTTTGAATCAGCTATAAAATCCAGCACAGCATTACGTTTTCAGGATTTAATTTCCATGTCTCTACTCTTGCGCTGGTCCCTTCTTTAATCTCTCCCCAGCATGGACTCTGCCTGCCTCTAGATATTTTAATTTGGTCACAGCAAGTCAGTTGCACAGAATGAGCACTAGAGAGCAACAGCAATTCAATTAATTTCACACTCACTGCAGGGAGCAAGGATTTTAAGCACCGCACATCGCAGGTGATCTGTAACGCCGCATTCGCAGGCTATTTGCCACCGGTCTTTGTTGGTTTCCGAGCAGTCTCGGAGGTCACAGAAGGCAGAGGTCAGAAAGCTCCAAGCCATATAATTTTAGAAATGAACACAAGCACCTGTGACTGCAAATAAACTTAGATGAGCCCACACTGACACTTCCAAGTTGAAAATGGGAGTCTGGTCGGATTTGTTTCAAGGGGTCATCAGCTGAGATTAGAAACCAGGAGAGCTTCCACACTGTATGTCTGGCATGGGTAGGTGTGTTGCATTGGTAGGTGTGTTACCAGCAGGTCAAGGGAAGAGATTATTCCCCTCTATTCAGCACTGGTGAGGCCACATCTGGAGAACTGTGTTCAGTTTTGGGCTCCCCACTACAGAAAGGATGTGGACAAATTGGAGAAAGTCCAGTGGAGGGCAACAAAAATGGTTGGGGGGCTGGGGGACAGGACTGATGAGGAGAGGCTGAGGGAACTGGGTTTATTTAGTCTAGAGAAGAGAAGACAGAGGGGGACTGAATAGCAGCCTTCAACTCCCTGAAGGGAGTTTGCAAAGAGGATGGAGCTGGACTGTCTTCAGTGGTGGCAGATGACAGGACAAGGAGCAATGGGCTCAAGTTGCAGCAAGGGAAGTTGAGGTTAGATATTAGGAGAAACCTTCTCATTAGGGGGGTAGTAAAACACTGGAAGAGGTTACCCAGAGAGGTGGTGGTGGACTCTCCATCCTTGGGAGGTTTTCAAAACCCAGCTGGACAAAGGCTTGGCTGGGATGATGTAGTTGGGGCTGGGTCCTGCTTGGAGCAGGGGGTTGGACTAGATGTGACCTCTTGAGGTCCCTTCAACCCTCATAGTCTGTGATTTTATTTCCAGGGTCCCTAACACTAGAGCGAAAGGAATAACTCTACTAGTGGCTATCGGTAATAGGCCAACAGAGAGAGCAAAGCGTATTTAAGCAAGTGTCACCCAGGAAGTGGGAAATGTGAACCATTTCCCCGATTATTAAATCAGTGGCGAAACAACAAGAGGTTATGTTTCAATGCACGAGCTATGGTAGCCACAAGGCTTTGTGTATCAATGATTAACAGTAGCAGGTGGTTCTCTGTGGGGACAGTCATGGAGAAGCACATAGCTAGTCATGTTATGTGTTACCTAGGAATTACAGGGTCTGATCCAAGGACAATTGAAGTCAATGAAAAAGCTTGGATTTCTGTGGGCCCGATTCAACCCCGCTGGATTTAGAAATTAATCATTCTCTCGATTAAACAGTTGCAGCTTTCTAGTTAAGAAGAAACAATACCATATTATGTAGCTGTCTACTAACAAAGCATTCATAAACAGGCCCAGATAAATGGTTGAAACGAATAGACCATGACCATGTCAGGCTGCAATATTTGCTCACATATATGCAAACAAAGAAATCAGGGTCACTGGCCAACAGTTTGCAAACAGAAGACAGAAGTACATTTATTCAACTCACTTTCAACATGAATATCCCCCCAAATGAATTGACCTCCAGACTGTCCGCTATTGGTCTCAAGTATTTTCTTGCCATGAAATGCGTCATATAAAGCTTCTTGGCCATTCACTCCAAAATATGGTACTTCTACACATGCAATTATTTTGCCATCATCTGGCATTGCCTCTGCCATAGCAAGGACACTGTAGCCTTTAAGCCTGCCAATGAATAAAATCCTATTGGCTCCGATGATATGAACTAACATCCTGAAAACCTGGCCTATTTAAGGAAAAGGATAAAATGTGAGAAATACAGCCATAATAAAGACACTGCATTGCACAATGATCACAGTGAACATTAAATCTACCCTCTAAACAAATGTCATTTAAAAAAAATCCCATTTCAAAACACTAAAATTGGGGCTAAACAACAGAATTCGACTAATTTCAACTGAACTGCAGGTAAAGACAACAGAATAAAGCAAATGGTTTTAAATGTGAAATCTTTATCGTTAATACTGCTATTGTTCAAGTGCTTGTTAAATAGTGCTTGAAATATTGCATATTTTAATATTCCCCCTACGTGAAAATGACTTTAAGATGCCTCCTGTATTCTTTCTGGGACCAAGTAAAAAAAAAAAAAAAAAAATCACTACATTACCTTGCATTTGCTCCTAGAGTCGTTATCCCCAGACAGCACTAGCATTTAAGGAATTTATCATCGCTGGTGTCCTTCGAACAATGTATTAGTGTAATACATTATAAGAGTACTTTCTGTGATGATGTATTACTCAAAAGATGGCAACATCTGGGAAGAATGAGTCTGGGAATAGATATAATATAATAGCTTTCCATGTGAACACAAAGCCGAGTGTTGCTATTTTGAAAAAGAACAGTGTTTTGTACCGCGCGCCGCAAACCTCTACAAACAACCCCTTCAAACTTGGCATTTTAAAAAAAAAAAAAGCCTCCAGTTCACCCCATTAATCTGATCTCTTTATTGTTTGCAGAAGAGACAGGTCACGCATGGAGAATTAGCTTTTCATGCAAAATGAAGCAGAACACTGCCATAAAAAGAATCTCTCATTTTAAATTCTTTTTTCCATGGATCCTGGATGTTTTCATGGTGTCCACCCACTAGCCATTAAAACCCCATTCTGAATGGATGGGACAGGGAAGGACAAGCATCACGGTCTCACTGGCAACTGTTATTCAAATCTTGTAACATTTAATTACACATCCTGATGGTCTTGCCTTTGATAGCCAGAGGTGCATTCTTTATGAGGCTTAGCCGTCCTTCCGACTCCTTCAGCATGCAGACACCAGCCTTCAGGTGAGGTTATTCTAAACAGGAAACAAACAGTTCGACATTACAGTCTTGCACAATACCTGCATAGCTCCCCCTATTCCCATGCCTCCCCCTCTACCCAACTCCCCCAACACAACGGTATGAAACAGAGAAACCCTAGAAAGCCTGGCATGATGAGCAAGCAAACGAGATGAGAGAAGAGCAGGTTTTCTGAACTGGATCTCAAAGAGGGCTCAGGGCTCTGAATCATCTCAACTTCACAGCATTTAAAAGAAAAATCAGATGAAGGGAAATGGTAGACCCTTCTAAACTGCAGTATAGTCCAGAGCCTCTCATACACTGTGAGCCACAGCATTCATGGGAGACAATCTGGCAATGCTATTGGAAGGAGCTCTCTTAGCACACGATAAGCACTGGCCTTGAATGATAAAACAAGACATCTAGGAAGAAAGGGAGAGTCCTCACTAAGAACTTGTGCAAGGACCTTCCTAATTGCTGATGTAATACTACGTTTGTGACTGCAATAGCTCATTGCATTTCCCAGTTGACAGCTTCAGGTCAAAAACATCCTATTACCTTTGGGCAGGAACTCACGTGAGATTCTCCCCGTAGCCAGGGAAGAGTCCATGCTACATGCTAGGACAAGAGTTGATCAAGATTTTTTTTAATGAAATGGGGTTTTTTGTTTGTGTTTGTTGTTGTTGTTGGTTTGGTTTTTTTTGGGGTGGGGGGGGAGAGTAAAAAAAAAATATCTATTTGACAAAACAGAGACATTTTATGGGCATAGAGAGTTCTTTGGGAAGGTTTTTTAGTTCCAGGATGGACTTCCTACTGAAAATGTGAGAGACCCACAGGTATATGTACTCGCAACTAAATATGCGAATCTAGCTGCACTCCCATACATGCACCCTCCATCCTTGCCCCTGCTCAAATGTGTCTGATAACTAGGTGGCCAACCTGGGATGTAAAAGGACCCAGGTTCAAGTCACTTCTCCGCCACATTCCACATCTACCCCGGGTCAGTGTCTTAACACCCAAGGCTGCTTGCTATGAAGGGAGAAGTGGACTTGGGTCTTTGTTTTCCCACGAAAACACTTCCAAAGGTGCAGACAGGTTATGTTCTTGACATCCTGAAAAGTGTAATGGGACAGGAAAAAACATTTTACACTGGAGGCAAGTAATTTTTCCCCTCTATTCTGCACTGGTGAAGCCACATATGAAGTACTATGTCCAGTTTTGGGTCCCCTGCTACAGAAAGGATGTGGACAAGTTGGGGACAGTCCAGAGGAGGGCCACAAAAATGGTTTTGGGGCCTTGGGGACATGACCTGTGAGGAGAAGCTGAGGAAACTGGGCTTATTTAGTCTGCAGAAGAAAAGACTGAGGGGGGATTTGATAGCAACCTTTAACTCCCTGCGGGGTGGTTCAAAAAAGGATGGAGCTGAACTGTTCTCAGTGGGGGCAGATGACAGAACGAGGAGCGGGCTCAAGTTGCAGCAAGGCAGGGTTAAGTAGGATATTAGAAAAAAACCTCTCACTAGGAGGGTAGTAAAACACAGGAACAGGTTACCCAGAGAGGTGGTGGAGTCTCCATCCTTGGAGGTTTTCAACACACGGCTAGACAAAGCCTTGGCTGGGATGATGTAGTTGGGGCTGGTCCTGCTTTGAACAGGGGGTTAAACTATGTATGACCTCCTGAGGTCCTTTCCAACCCTCATTTTCTAGGATTTCCCATCCACAACTACTCGGATCAGCAGAAGAGACCTGAATCACAAGGGAAGGGGTCTCCAGAGCAATTCCATAGGGTACAGCATATAGGGATCAGTTTGAGCTAAATGAGAGATTGTGCTCTGGGAAGACAACACAGAATGGTGAAGTAGTCACCAGCCTCCAGACAGGTTCGAGGACCCCACGTGAAGAAAGCAACCCGATCAGCTCTCAGTCCCTGAACGTTCACGATGCTTCTGCAGATCAGCATTTTAAGCCATTTGATTTTTTTTTTTTTTTTAATCTGTTCTCCCCTGGCCAATCTTCAGTGAAATGAGAAAGATTTCAGAACCCGTATCAGACACACTCCGATAATCCGAGACTTGAAGAGCAGAACATTTCCTATAACCTTCTTTCTGCCCCTCACAAATGCTTTAACAACTTTAATAAGATAATGTATAGCTATTATCATACAGCTAGCTTAAGTCAAACAACTATCAGCTATTATTTCAGCAACAGCCTTCCCATAATCCACAGACTGGAACAGTTTACACATTGTCGGTTTCAGAAAGAACCGACTTTTCCCACATATCAAAATTTACACTGATAAATGAGAACCGCTTAGCAGACCTCACGTGCCCAGGTAATATAGTGCAGCTCAAAGACGAATAATGAGGGTATCAATTGGACTTCTGAATTAATGATACCTAAAATTACTTTAATTAATTAGTTTAGTTACTAGAGTAATTTAGTTAGCAGATTAATTAATGTTTGTAAAGCACGTTGGAGATAAAAGCTCCAGTGCCTATGAAGGCTATTATTGTAATATGGAATTGCCAGGTTCTCCTCACTCAGGCAAACACGCATGGGTGAAAGGTCAGGTTTCATGCTCAGAGGCCCTGAAAGGATCCTATATAGAGGTTTACTTTTTATTTTAAAGGGTTGGGAAAATCATATGGGAACTACCATTCTTGGTTTGCTGTCGTGCTCCTAGCCCTGCCTCAGAACTCAGCAGGATTTTGGGTGCTGAGAATGGATTAATTTTCTCATCACAAGAAAGAGTTTGGTGCTAACCTGCAGTGGAAGTGTTTGATGATCTGAGAGTGAAACAAATATATATATATATATATATATATATATATATATTATTTGGGGTTGAAAGAAACATTTTAGTCGTTACAAAACAAAATGTTTTGAATACTTGATTGTTTTCCAAATGCAATCTACCGCAATTGAAGCACCTTGTTTTGAAAATGCCCAAAAGAAAGCATCATGGGTTTCTTTTCCTGAAACAAAATTATTGTAGGGTTTCTTTTAAATTGCAACTGAAAACAAAATGGGTGCAACTGACATGAATTCTTGTACTGTTTTGCCGAACTGTAGCAATAACATTGTACCTGGAGTATTTCTGGGAAGATAAGACATCTAGATCTAAAGGCAAAGGAAAGAAACAACTCTCTTAAAATCGGTAAGACTATGTGGGCGCTGATAGACAGGCAGCTGTAACTCATGGCACTTTACAGAAAAGTGCCGTGAGTTCAAGCAACCTTTCAAAGCTCCAGTGTTGTCTCCAGCCAGCCCCTGAGACAACGATCTGCTCTGGCTTTAACATCTTGGAGAAATGCACATAATAAGTGAATCTCATTACCTCTTCAGATTTGCCATTGCATGCAGGTAAAGGCTTGGGCCAAGAGCTACGACAAGAGCTTATCTACGTGGCAATGCATAGTTTTCCAGCTTGCTCTAAGCTTTGGTAAGGAGGGGTAGCACTGGTGCTGCTACCATCTCAGCAGGGTTCAGCTATCCCACTGGGAAAGTGCTTCTCTCTCCACACAAGGGCAGGGCTGGCACTGTGAACACATAGGCTGAGACAACTGCTGGTTATGGAGTGATGGCCACAAGCATGGACTGGACTTGCAGGTCCAGCTGCACAAGGCAGGCTAGCCTAAACCCCACCCATCTCCAGACATTTGTAACATGGGCTGGGGAGAGCAAACAGCACCACTCAGCAAGCAGCCGAGCTCGTGTACCTTTCTCTTACGTAAGTTGTGTGCTAGCTCGAGTGGTCCTGTCTGGGCCTGGTGAAGCTCCAGGTGCTGGGGCAGATGACTGTGGTGACATACCCTCATAGCTATGCAGTACGAAATACCGGACACATTTTTGGGTAGGGTTTAGTAAACAGGGAGGGGATAAGAGCTGATGCCCTCTGTGGTTCCTCCTGTTCTCTCCCCACTGCTTTGCTAAATGACATTCAACAGGTCATGTCTCCTCCCCATGCCTTAATGTTCCCACCTGTCAAATGGGACCGATGGAAAGTGCTTTAAGATCAATGAAGCAAAAGCACTATGAGAGCTGGGTTTCATCAATTACTGCGATAGTCAGTTGGCCCTTCCAGTTGTCCCATTAGACCATTGGCGCTGCCAAGCCTCCCGAGATGAATTTGCCCTGGACAATATCCTTATTCCAACAGGCTTTTCCAAGTTGAGTTCAGGAGGCTTTCAGCTTTCCCCAAGCTGTGAAGCAGTTGTCAATTGACACCTTCTTGAAAACCCATTTTCCCAGTCTGCGCATTTCTGCTTGTTTTGAACGTTCTTGGTCTCTGTTTACTAAGTTGCTATGCAACCCCCCATCTCTTATACGATGGCATCGTTGCTTCTTTTTCCAAATAAAATCTTTTGGTAACACAGATGGCCTGCTCTGTTTTGCTAATTATTTGTCATTTCCCTATTGAGTTGGTTCCTCCTTCTTCAGCAGCAGAACTGCAGTTGCCTGGTTATATTTTTTAATTTCCCCTCTCT